TCTGTTCTGACGACTGCCTCCTGGTCCAAGTATAAGTTTCACATTAGAACGATCAAGCGCTCTGGGATTCCCATTCTTCTCAGCGTCAGCCATAGTTTGTTATGATCTACACAGTCAAATGCCTTTGCATAGTCAATGAAACACAGATAAGACATTCCTCTGGTATTCCCTGCTTTCAGCCAAGAGCCATCTAACATCAGCTACAATATCTCTAGTACCACGAACCCTTATGAAACCAGCCTGGACTTCTGGTAGGTCTCTGTTGATGTGCTGTTCCAGTCGTTTTTGGATAATCTTCAGTAAAATCTTGCTTGCATGTGAAATCAGTGAGATTGTTCTGTAGTTTCCACATTCTGTTGGGTCACCTTTCTTTGGGATAGGAACAAATATCGATTTCTTCCAGTAAGTTGGCCAAGTGGTCGTTCTCCAGATTTCTTGGCACAACTTGGTGAGCACGTCCAGGGCAGCATCTGTTAACTGAAATATGTCAATTGGTATACCATCTATTCCTGTAGCCTTATTTTTTGCCATGTCCTTCAAAGCAGCCTGAACTACTTCTTCCATCACCATAGGCTCTTGCTCATATGTTGTTTCATGAAATTCTTCTGTGTCTTCCAATTCTTTTCGACACAGTGACTCAGTATATTCCTTCCATCTTCTTTTAATACTTCCAGGATCATTTAACGTTCTGCCGAAAGCACCCTTGATTATAGCAACTCGAGGTTTGAATTGGAAATGGAATTATACAATATGTAATCTTTGGTCCTGGTTTCATTCACTTAGCATATTGTTTTTGTTTTCTTTAAAATTTTGGTACAAATGCACATCACAAGGCATGCAGCAGATCACCCACTTCTGGAGGTGTAGTCCACTGACATTAATTATATTCTTTAGTTTGTGCGTTCTTGCTACCTGTTTCCAAATTATTCTACAACCCTCCCTTTCATTGCTGGTATCCATGAATAATTTTTTATTTCTATATATTTGATTACTTCATGTATTATCCCTGGGAAAATGCTGTCCTTTTGATCTTGAATCATCCATTTGCTTTTTCTCAGCCTCACCTTTTCATCTGAAAAATGATGAATCAGTTCAGATTTACCTAAATTTAAGGTTAATTCCAGCTCTAAAATATTCTTAAAATCACACATAAAGTGTGCTTTATGAAATGATCTGATAAATGAGAGAGCCCTTTAGAAGATATAATGTGCTTTTACAAGTGTGGTAGAATGTTAATTCCTTTGTACCGTGTATTCTTTTGAATCAATACTGTTCTTTTGAATAAAATACTCTTCTGATTAGATAGCATCATATGATTAAATTTAGTTTTAATACTAAACAGAAAATTCAGTCAGTTGCACTAGCCACTTTTTTTAAAAGCAAGGATGTCAGTTTATTATTTTTTAATCTGAATTTTTTTATCGTTGTACATTTTCTTTCTCTTTCCCCTCCTCCCCAGCCTCCTTCTCAATACAGCCCTTGTTCCAGATTATTGTTTATATATATATATCTATAACATAATCATATCTTCCTTTTGGCAGTTTTTCCTCTTATCTGATCAGATGCATTGTTCATTATCTTTCCACCCATTTCTTACTCTCTGCCCAACCCCTTTACCCCTTGTCTATCCTATTTTATAACAGTGGTGTAATACAGTATTTATCCTCTTTTGACTGAAATATTTCACTCATCATAATGTCCTCCAGGCTCCTTCATGTTGTATAATATTTTACAAGTTTTTTGTTTTCAGTGCTGCATAATATTCCATTATGTGACCATATGACCATACCATAGTTTTCTATCGATTCATTTGTTATTGGGCATTTGGGTTGCTTCCATCTCTTTGCTGTTGTGAATAATGCAGCAGTAGACATGGATGTGCATACATCTGTATGAATCATGGCTTTGGTTTCTTTAGGGTATATTGGAATTGCTGGGTCAAATGGTATGTCTATTTCCAACTTTTTGAAAAAGTGCCAGATGACCTTCCAGAGTGGATGTACCATTTTACATTCCTACCAACAGTGAGTAAGTACTAAACTCTCCACACCCTCACCAGCATTTGTTGTTTGCTGTCCTGTTGAACTTTGCTGTAGTTGCTAGGGTGAGATGGTATCTCATAGTTGCTTTTGCTCTAGGCATATTAGTTGCTACTGTTTGTACAGTGGTTATACAGTGTACAGCATTGTAGAAAGTTCTTTCGGACTGCAGTTACTCTCAATGACACATTTGGAAGGTGAAGATATAGGAAATGTATGGCCTAGTTTATTTATATGATTATTATGCCCCTTCTCATGAATTAATTTTAATATCATTTGAAATAATAATGATGACAATGACAGTTTATCATAATAGGGAACACACACCTACACTCAAAATCTTTGCAACAGTAAAAATATAAATATTTTTCAAGAGCTGGGAATTGCAAAGTGGGTGGGAAGGAAGAGGTATTGACTGCAGAGTGGGGTGATGGAATTCTCTTAGGTGATGAAAATATTTTATATCTTGATTGTGATGGTGCTTTTACAACTAAATCCTATTTAGGACTCAAAGAACTATACGTTTTAAAAGAGTACGTTTAAGCATATATAAATTATATAACTTAATAAACCAAATTTTTATAACCTTACCAACAGCTATACCAAGTGGGTATTCTTTCTTCATTTGTAGTTAACAGAAATAGACTCAGAAAAGTTAAAGGACTTTTCTTATTGTCCAGTAGTATGCTGCAGGTCAGAATTGAACCTAAATTTGCTTACTCATATTTTACCTCTCAGAAGGTATTAACAGTAAGTATGTTCTTTTTGAAAGGCTAATCTTAACCTTGAAAGCTGGGAACTCTGTTTAGTTTTCAGAAACTTTGCCGTCACATTCTTATTCATCTCTAGCAGATCTCATTTCTGACAGTCATTAGTTAAGATTGGAATTGATGCTCTTATGGCGTGCTACCCAGGCATGGTGCTTTCTTGTAGCTTTGGTCTTCGTGTAGGAGCAGCAGGAGACCATTTTCAAACCTACTGACTTTGTTTGGTTAAACAATTCGATACTTTGTCCAGTCGATAATGGAGTGGCTTCTCAATAGGAGAGTTTACAGAGGCAAAACATGCAGCATTTAGCACTTTTTAATTTTCCTCTCCTCATCTTACTGGGCAGAGAACTGGTCCAGTAGAGGAGAGATGAAAGGCAGGTAAAGTGTACAGGCCGTCTTCAGTGTTACTGTTGTATCATCATCATCATTGTTATATTTGCATTTGGATTTATAGAGTTTGTAATGTATTTTAACAACTATGGTATCTCTTCATTCTCTCAATACCCTGTGAAGTGAGTGCCAATATAGAAGCAGTATTACTGGATGACATATTAAGGATATGTTTTTCTTTCAGTTGAATTGAAAATATGTACTTCTTTTTAACTTTTTTATTGCCAAGTTGTCCTACTTTCTGTTTGCTGATACTATCTTGTTGCCAGGAATGCAGTTGGAGATACATTTCTGGAAGTTCTATCTTCTGGTATTAACCAGTAATGTCTTTGTTCTTACCTGTCCAGCTGCTTCAGCTACCGTTTATTGGGAACACATTATTTCTCTACTTCTTTTTCTGGAACCCTGGGTAGACTAATTTATTGCATAGTAGTTGTCATCTAACCAGCTGTTGACCGCCTGCATTCAGCATTTGACTTGTTTCCTATCCTGAGGTGCTCCAGGAGAAATTAATGACCCAAAAAATTGCCCAACTATCATGTAAGCTTAGTTAGGAGAGAATTGTTGATTTTTATGAAGTGTAAGTAATCTAATTGGAGACATATTTTCAAGCATATGTCAGCTTATGTGTCAGAAATGGTTCCTGAAACAAGATGGGATAAATTAACTGGTCAGTGGTAGATTTTTCATTGATTAGTATGGATAAGGTAGTTCATTAAGGTAATCACCAGAGCACTTGTGCAGGTGATACTGCACAAAAATTTACAAGATTATTTTGTACTTTGACTAAATTTGGAAAGAGATCCTGCCTGTGTTTTCCTGTTTCCATTAAAATGAGAAATAACAAAAATAAATAATCTTCCCCCCCGCCTTTTTTTGTCAAAAGCTGTTAGCAATTAATACCTTGTCCTGAGTGAAGAATGTTGAATATACCATAGACTACCGAAAGAACAAACACATCTATCTTGGAAGAAGTGCAGTGAGGGTACTTCTTAGCAAGAATTTTCTTTAGAGACAAGGAAACATACTTTGAAAATATTTTTAGGAGAGGGAAGTTATTATTAGGAGAGGGAAGTTCTTAGAAGAGAGTATCATGCTTGGAAAGGTGGCGGGACAGAGGAGAGGATGGGTTGACAGAGTGATTGCTATAATGACCTTAAGCACGACAGATATTGTGAGTTTGGTGCAGGATAAGGAAAGGTTTTGATTTCTTATACATAAGATCACTGTAATACAGAGTGTACGTAACAGCTCCTACGAACAACAGCCTGTGCAAGTGTGAGATGTGGGGGACCTTTTGCTGTTCTTCTTTTCCAGCAGTGCATGTGCACATCTCCAGGCACTAGGGCTTCCCTATGAGCAGAAGTACAATCTTTCCCACCTCTTGGACTAGTATCATCAGAGTTACAGTAGTACTCAGAGATCCTGAACTCATTCTGTCATTTAACACAAAGCTTTTCAAGTCTAGAGGGAGACAAGTGACTTGACTAATACCACATAGAATGCTAATGACACTAGATTGTGGCAAATAGGAACTGGCATTAAAGTGAACACACCAAAAGGTTTCAGTTTACCTTAGGTATGATATTGTATTACTTCACTTCTTAGCATCTTTATCTGTAAAATGGAAAAAGTATCTAGTATAGGGACAAATTAAAAAAAATGAACTTTCTGACCAGTCCTTTTTCTATAGCCCAGTAACAAACGCCTCCACTTTAACATAAACCTTGAGATTATAAAAGAGAAAGCTGATGTCAGAGAGAGTGAGTAACCAAATGCCATTTTTTTTGTGTCCTTATAGGATCCTCAGTCTTCCACAATGAACCCTGTTTACAGCCCCGTGCAGCCTGGGGCTCCTTATGGCAACCCTAAGAACATGGCCTACACAGGTGAGTTACAGTGACTCTCACTTTGAGAAAACTGATGAAAATGTTATCAAAATATGTGGGGAAAGACTACTAGTATATTTAAAAAAACAAAAACAAACTAAATCAAAATAACACTTTAAACTTTTTGCTGTTATGGTGAAAATTACTCATAGCTAACCCTCCAGCAGGTTTTCTGAGGCTATGAATCACATAGAATGATTTCCGTCTTTCTTCTGAGGAGTCGCTGGTGGATTCAATCTTCCAGAGAGATATCCCCTTTGGGTTAGCAGCTCAACTCCTTATAGATTGTGTGTAAAAAGAATGAGGGCAGCATGAGGACTGACCTCTACAGATTCCACAGAGGGGAACCATCCTTATCAGCAACATCCACAACACAAAACCACTTCCTATGAGGTCAGACACAGATCGCCTACCCGTTCCACTGTATTTCTTGTACCTACTTCTACTAATTTCAATACCAAACCTACTCTTCTCCTGAGTATGTAATTTATTGCAGTAAACACAGGCCTCACAGAGCCATATTATTAGATTTATTAAGAAGGTTAGCAAGTTACAACTCAGGTTGGCAACGGGATACAATTTCTCAGTCAAGACAGTTTCTTAAACATTCTCATAAGGCCTTTAGCTTTCAGCCTTGCAGCTTTAACTTTAGACCAGTGTTACAAAGCTCCATTAGTCCTGCCATTTTCCCTTTCCCCCTGTAATCCTTCAGCAAACTTGGGCAAAGGCCTCTGACTCTGTGGGACTGTAGTCACATTGGGTTTGTGGTTCTCCACTGCTGCTGCTATTGCTACTGTTGCTGCTATTGCTCTCTGTAGGCCCTGATCTGAATGATGCAGGAATCTCTGGCTCTGAAGGACACACACTGCATTCTCTGCTTCTTCTTTCTTACTAGTAGTGAGAGTCCAAATTTCTGCCACTGAACCTGCTTGATTTAAACCTGGTAGAGTGACAAAATTAGCAAATTCCCCTGGTGGCCATAGCACCAGGGTTGTCATTGCTGATGTCAGATGGATCTTGGCTGAAAGCAAAGAATTCCAGAAGAATGCCCATCTGTGTTTTATTGACTATGCAAAGGCTTTTGACTGTGTGGATAATAACAAACTGTGGCTAACATTGTAAAGAATGGGACCAGAACACTTAATTATGCTTATACAAAATTTATACCTACATTCTGTCCCTGATGTTGCCCAGGTTGCTCATATGAGGCCTGCCCACCACCACTGCTAAGATGCCTTATGTTGCCGCCTGCCCCCTGGCCACCCTTAAGGGCAATTCTTTCTTCAGCCTCAAGGACTGTGTGGACATCAAGGCTGAAGACCAGCTCAACAAGGTCATTAGTGAGCTAATTGGGGAGAACAATGAAGATGTCATGGCCCAGGGTATTGGTAAACTTGCCAACATGCCTGCTGGTTGCATTGTGGTCATCTCCACAGCTTCTTGCTCTACAGCTCCTGCTGCCGACTCTGCCCCAGCTGCAGCAGAGAAGAAAAAAGAAGAGAAGAAGGAGTTGGATGTTGGCATTGGCTTTGGCTTGAGTCCCTTCTCTGCAAATAAAGCCTTTTTATGTTTAAAAAGAAATAAATTAAAATCTATACCTAGACCAAGAAGCTGTAGTCAGAAAGGAACAAGAGAATTCTGCATAGTTTAAAATCAAGAAAAGTATGCATCAATATTTTCCATTCCTATTCCATCTGTATGTTGAGCAAATCACTCAAAAAGCTTGGAGGAGAACATCAGTAGGGTGTTGTTATACAACAGCCTATGTATTGCAAATGACCTACTTGCTGAAAATGAGGAGGACTTGAGGCGCTTGTTATAGGAGATCACGAATTTGAATATGGATTGTATCACACTTCAAGAAAACAAAAGTCCTCACTACTGGATCAGTAGACAACATCATGATAGATGGAGAAAACATTGAAATTATCAACTTGAATCCACAGTCAACACCTTTGGTACCAGCAGTCAGGAGATCTGGAGATGTTTTGCATCGAGAAAGTCTGCTATCAGGGACCTGTTTGAAGTCCTAAAGTGCAGTGATGTCAGTTTAACGACTAAGGTACACCTAGTTCAAGCCATGATCTTTTTGTTCAGCTACTATGCATATGACAGCAGGACAGAAAATAAGGATGACAGAAGAATTGATGCCTTTTAGTTGTGGTGTTACAGAAGAATACTAAATGTCCCGTGGACTGCCAGAAGAGCAAACAAATATATTTTAGAGAAAATGCAATCAGGGTGCTGCTTCTCACAGGCTAGAATGTTGAAGCTTCCTCTCACATACTTGATGCATGATGTTAGGAAAGGCATTCCTTGGAAAGGGATATTATGCCTGGAAAGATGGAGGGTCAGTGAAAGAGAGGAAGGCCTGAGAGTGGACTCAAATATGTCAGAGATGGTGAGGATGGAATGGATTGGGACAGGGTTCAGGTCTGTGGTTTATAAGGTTACTATGAGTCATACTTGACAATACCTAACAACAACCATGTACCTTGTGCTAGGCAATTTCATATGATTTATTTCTCTTTAATCCTTTCTAGAGTCATTTCTACAAGGTGCAGGTTTTTTTAACTGCTGTTACACAAATGGGAAAACCATTGTTACAGCAAGAAGTTACCAAACAAAATGAAAATAGGTGCTGAACCTAGTTGTCTTTATTCTAAAGACTTCTCTTTCTCCTAAATTATGTATAAAACTATTCCATACTTCTCTGCTTTTACTTTATACATTGTTTCTCTGTCTAAAATGCCTTCGTTCCTTGGCAATTTTATAAGAACTCAGCTCTTCAGGTGACATTTTCCCAAAGAAGTATTCTCTTACTTACTTGACCTTAGTAACATTTTTTCATCTTCCAGAGCTATAGTGTAGAAAATGAGAGTAAATATTACTATATTTAATAGGACTGATAGAAAGATTAAGTAAACTGCTGTAAGATTCTCAGCATATAAAATGTTTAGCGGTTAAGGCACAAACTAAATACTTAATGATAGCTGTTACTCTTTACACATAACTAAAAGTGGATTTATGGCGATGGAAGTGAATGAAAATGATGTATGTAATTGCCTTGATAATACTTGACAATTTAGTCTTCAAGAAAAATTACTTTGTTTAAATACAAGGTAAAGGTAACAATATAAACAAATGGAGCTAAGAAGGTAAGTCAGGTTATAGTAAGTACTAGCGATTAGCTGGTGTAAAGAGTGAAAAAAAGCAGTTTCTGGGTGGTGTAAACAGTTAAGCAGTGACTACCAGATGAACATTTGGCTGTTCAGACAGCCCAGAGACTCTTTGGGAAGCAGACCTAACAGTCTGGTTCTGAAAGGTCATAGCCTTGAAACATTGTCAATCAGGCAGTTGTACTCTGCATGCATGGTGGTGTACAGAGCCAGAACTAACATGACGACAACTAAGAACAATAACATTGTGTAGAATCCTAGATTGAGAGCTGAAGGACCATAGATAACTTGTTTCGTTTTCAAATTGTTATATAAGAACCTTAGGCAAGTGCTTCAGAGTTTTTAAACATTTCATTTTCTTTAAAAAGAAATATTTAGACCAATTTATGTAAAGCATACTCACATATAAGTTAATCAATGTGATAAGTTTCTAAGAATGCATGTGAATTTTTTTAAAAAAACTAAAACTGCTACAATTACAGCAGATTGTGGCTAACATTGAGAAGAACAGGAATCTAGAACACCTGACTCTGCTCATGTGAAACCTACTCTTAGACAGTTTCAGAACAGAGCAAGAAAACATTACATAGTTCAAAATCAGGAAAGGAGTGAGTCAGAGATCCGTCTTATCTCCATACCTTTTCAATCTCTGCGGAACAGATCATTTGGGATGCTGGACTTTATGAGGAGAATTTGGTATCAAGATTGAAGGAAGACTTTGTCTGCATTATACAGACGACACAACCTTGCTCACCAAAACTGAGAAGGACCTGAAACATTTGCTGTAGAAGGTCAAAGACTGAAGTTTTCAATATGAATTGCAGCTCAACATCAAGAAAAGAAAGATTCTCACTGCTGGGCCAATTAGCAGTGCCATGAGTGGTGGAGAAGAGATTGAGGTTGTGAATAATTTCAGCATGTTCAGATCCATAATCAACACTGTTGGCAACAGCAGTCAGGATATCAGAAGATGAGTTGCATCAGGAAAGTCTGCTATCAGGGACCTCTCCAGAGTTCTGGAGAGCAACGATGTCAGTCTAGAGATCAATGCACATGTGATCCAGGATGTGGTCTTTGCAATCACTTGCTATGCATCAGAAATCTGGATAGTGTCTAGGGATGACAGAAGAATTGATGCCTTTGAGTTGTGGTGCTGGAGTTGAGCATTGAACATACCATGGACTGCCAAGAGAACAAACAGGTATGTCCTGCAAAGGGTGAAATCAGGTTGCTCCTTGGAGGCAAGGATTCTGAAGCTCTGTCTCACATACTTTATACCTATTGCCAGGAGGGACGAGTCCTTGGGGAAGGACATCATATTTAGAAGGTTGGAGGGTCAGTGCAGGAGAGGAAGACCCTGAATGAGATGGATCAAAACATAGTAACTGGGGTAATGGGATAGGTGTGTTGGAGACAGTGAAACTGGCTCTGGATAGGACAGGGTTCAGAACTATTATTCATAAGGTTTCTGTTCATCAGAGTTGACTCAGTGACACATAAAAACAATTTATTTATAAATCAAACTTTCTCTCAATGCAATACAACGCATAAAACATTAAGAAGTATATTGGAGATTGAGCCTGCCTGATAGGAATACTGGTGTCATCCTTAATTTTCAGTTTAATTTTTTTTTTAATCGCTGCAGCTTCCTTCTCATTATTTAACTTTAAAGTAAATATTCTGTTGGAACATCTATTATTTATTTAGACTAATAAAATTAATTCCAGTAACCAAGACCCATTGGACATTACTTCACCTCCAGTAGTTCAGGGAGCCTTGTTGCTTTTTCCACTTCCTACTTTAGAATGTTCCAGCGAACTA